AGAATAAATCAGTAGGACACAGAAAGAATTAAAAGTACCAAAACTCAGTTTTCTCTGTTCATTCTTCGACATGAATATAGATCATATGCTGTTAAAATCAATAGCGTCCCTCTTTTCCTTATATGTTGGTCAAAAACGGAGGGCTGGGAGATGGTACGAAGTTTGTCCCGAGATGTTTTTAGCTTACATACAAGGCTACAGCTCTCATTTTAGCTCATTAGTCTTATTATCGTTGCGTACTTTTATATCTGTCACACTTTTAGCCCCTTAAATGTTTTACCACCTTTAGTCTCTTACACCCTTTACTCTTTTATTCCCTTTACTCCCTTGACTCCTTTTGCTCCCTTTACTTTTCTGTTTCATGCATATCAGAACTATTACCCTCACTNAACAACTAAAGGATATACTCAGTCATGTATAGGTATAACTTTTTAATAACTAAAAAGATCTCGCGACAAACTTCGTACCTTCTCCCATCTTTGCAAAAACGCGCTATTCAACGACTTTACATCATTATAAATCGAGCATGAGACAGCCACCACGACCAATATTTATAAGAGAAGTGCATATGTTCGTTCTCTCCAAGAACAGAAACAGAAACCGCATTAAAGGGCCTGAAAATCACATGTTTAAACAGAGTGTAAAGTCGAATCTAGGTGAGGCTGAGCCTCAATTGAGCGAATCTAAGTGAGGCTCGAGGCTCACGGGTCTCAGTGGCTCCGCCGCCACTGGTTATAACATTCCTTCTCAATTTCTCTCTTCATTCTAGAATAAGCAGTATACATGGCTAGCAATATCTACAGAAAACCTATTCTTCAGATGTGGTGAAAAAAATGACCTTGAGTCGTTCTTACGTCCTTCAAGAATCAAGGCAGACTGTTTTTTCTTTATTATTAAGGTATCTACCCTCTTATTACATCTAGGGATCTGTATATTCTCTCTTCCTGTCATATATACAGTTGCATCATTCTCAGTTTTTTAACCGTAGTTTTCTTTTCTTAATAAAGAGTGCTTGTGAATGACTTCCATTTTTCTATCAGGAATAATAGAAGTCAGACATACAAGCTTGTGCATTAAGTCAGACGTTTTAAGCAACAGATAATATTGAGCTCGTTCCACTGACTAACACTCCAAAACTTGATTAAATTCGTAACTCAGAGCCTTTTTACGATTAAAATATGTATGGAAAAACCTTCTACATTCAAGGATTTCGGATGATTCGGAGGAATGAAAAACCAATATACTTGTTGACGACATTGTAAGAAACCCTAGGATGCTAAACCCCTGAGCTTAGTAAACTCAAAAACCCCACAACTTTGGATGAAAAACTGCACGGGTTTAGTAAAACATTCTGTTGAGTTTTTTGAGACAAGGAAAAACCCCAAGGGTTTTTTACCTGCTTCGCGAAACCTTTCAGTCTTCAGAAAAAATCCTAGTTATTTTGCTAACCGTAGTTTAAAAAATCCTAAGGTTCAGTAAGACTAATAAACCATTCAAACGACCTTTCAGGTTTTTAAGAACGACTCAAATACGCTTACGGGTTTAGTAACATTTACTAATCCTTCGGTGCAAGTAGAGTTGACTGAAGGACTATTACTTTACATGAACTATGTCCTCCAGAGATTAAATCCTTCGGTGCAAGTCGACCTGAGTCAAAGACCATAACTTTATGTGAACTGTTTCGTCCAGAGGTAATCCTGCGGTGCAAGTCGAGTTGGCTTAAGGATTATACCTTTATGGGAACTATGTCATCGAGCGCTAATCCTTCGGTGCAAGTCTACTTGAATATTACTTTATATGCACTATGTCGTCCAGAGGTAATCCTATAGTGCACGTGTAGACGAATATAACAAGAAAAATCGAGTGCCCGGTTACTACGGCCGCCTTGGTAACAATGGTGAAGGAGTAGAACATTTAGTCTTCGCTCGTTATACATTAAAATATCTCAGCTTTGTAAAGTGCTAGAGAAGTCGGGTTTGCGGCATTATTTTAGCTGATTCCGAGACTACCATGATCCCAGTCACATGTGTCACGCGGTCAATGATGAGTCATAATTTTTCGATTTTAGGACTATTTTTGAAATAACTTTTCTGCATGGGAACACATTTTTTCGATATCTTTGCGTCATCATGTAGTTACTGTATAAACTCCATTGCATGAAAAATACAACAAGACACAGCGGAATGTTGCATTCAACGTGTGACCGATTTCGCTCGAACTTTTAGGGTATGAAGACCAAACACATTTAGGAATAATCTGAAGCTATTATAATTATGCGATGTCATTTAGACATTGTGATAACGAATCTTGAGGCGAAGTGAATGTTTAAAATTGCATTATACATTTTGTATGTTTACAATGGGATGAAATATTTGCACGATACGTCCCTTAAGAAGAAGAAACTCATGTATTCTTTCAATGTATACATTCACTTTTATTTACATAAGAATAGTTCATTCGTTCATGCAATATCACGCAAATTCAGTTGTGGTATCTGTGAAACTATTTAGCATAAACAGCTTGTTAGGTATTGACCGAATGTCAATGCCTACTTTTCTGTACATTCTCTTCGCGCTGTTGTGTTACTATTTGTCTTTTTGCTATATAGTCTGTTGCTATGTCTTTGTGTTGGTATTTCCTTTTGCGCTTGATCCAAAAAGGGAAAACATTAGGTAAAATTTCTCAAAAATAATTCCTTGAAGCAAAATAAACATTGCCACGGTCATCAGCATGTAAAATAGCCCTACATTCCATATTTTGTTTATTTCTCTAACGTGAAAATGTCCTCATAGGTGTGGCCTCGGAAAACGCCTGAATCTCTGAAACAAAAGACGACAGGCAAACCATTCTTTCGGATTCGGATCGCCGCATCCGATAGTACCAGTGTAGTAGGAAAGAAAAGAAAATTCTCCAGAAAACCAATGTTTTTCCAAATTTGCAAGCCCGAATTTTGTAAGTAAAATCTTTTGAAAAATCTACTGACTGTACGGCTTTGTAGCAAATTCTATCTAGTTTCTGAATCTAATGTCGCTATCACGGATCGTTGGAAAGGTATTAGCGATTTATAGGCGTACACTATATTTTTACATAGATAATAGTTTGTTTACGCATACTTTCGTCATGGTGTTTATATAGAAGGTGCTTATATTTAGAGTGTGTTTTGGGGTTCAGGCAGAGAGTCTATAATATTTCTCTTGTCTGTGTTATTCTGCGAGTAAAATAAAATCAGATAAATTTTCGATATCCTGGGTTAATGTTCAAGAATGACGTCGTGATGCAGTGTGTTCAAATAGAAAACGTGGTTTATAATGATAATTCTATCAATATGAAGAGAAAATAAACTTTGAAAGATTTAGAAAAGAAAATCTTCGACCAACTTTGATTCTTAACAATTCCAATGAACAAATTTTAAATAGTTTAGAAAAAGCCGTAGATGATTATTTATCTTTATGTCCTTTAAATCGTAGATGAAAGGGTAGGTTTTTCTAAATAGCAATGTGTTTTACTGAACGATTGAGAACGTGTGAACAACTGGCGCTGTCGTGCTTGTTCTTTGATACGGACAATTTTTGCCCTGAAATATGTAAAACAGCTGAGTTTGTGCGAAAGTTGGCAAAAAAAAGGTTCAACCGTTTGTTATTAGTATTTGAACGAACTGTTTTGTTAATATAGAATACTTAATTAATCATTCTTCTGACTTGAAAAGTCGAATGATCAAAGAAAGGAGGCAACGAGAAGTGCCCTATGTCGTTTTCTACTGAAACAAAAAGTAAACCACATGAAGAACAATAACAACATGAAATAAATGTTTCTCACATACCACAACTGAATTTGCGTGATATTGCATGAACGAATGAACTATTCTTATGTAAATAAAAGTGAATATATACATTGAAAGAATACATGAGTTTCTTCTTCTTAAGGGACGTATCGTGCAAATATTTCATCCCATTGTAAACATACAAAATGTATAATACGATGTTCATCGGTATCTTTATTTGTTCCTTATATTTTCTTCTCATACAATTTGTTTCTTTTTCTCCGTTCTTTTCAATCAAATCTTATGTATAACTTACATACCGACCTTTTCTCTTCGATATAAATAATGTTCATTTTCAATTCATTTAGGTCTTATCTTAGGACGATAAGTTTGTAACTATCTGTCCTAAGCACAGGTAAACACACAATTACAGCTTATTTGACATTCTGCTGAAATACACTAATTTAAACATTCACTTCGTCTCAAGGTTCGTTATCACGATGTCTAGATGACATCGCATAATTATAATAGCTCTCAAACTAAGCTGTTTCTTTTTCTCTCTCACTATTATCGCAAGCGCTTCCTCGTGAGCTAAAACTTCGCGTTTTATCAATTATTTCTCAGCTTAGTGCAACTTTCGCGACTGCATACTGTTCTCTATATCCCTTCAATAACCACACCTTTTCTTACTTCCACTTTGCCTACCTTTTCTGCAGTACTTAGCTGTGTCTAAAGTGTCACATTCGTGTTTGTATCTGGTTTATTCTAAGGATCTCAGACTGCTTATATCTGCACAAACATCTCTCCTCCCACATCGTGTCCTCGATCAAGCGTCATGACGATGCCTCGTCGGATCTGAATCTGAAGGAATCCATCCGTTGAATTATTTCGAATTTGAAGAGGAGTAGCTAAACCTCCTATGAGGTGAAGGTTTTCTCAGTGTTCTTTGATAAATCTTTGGTGCTAATCTGCTACAGTTTAAATTTCATGGTTTTGGTTTCAAACTTTTTACCCATGGATTCGTCGGATCTGAAGCTCGCCATATTTGCATTTAAAGGACGGGGCACGGTAAGAGGCAAAATCGGCCACGCTCAAATCAGTCTTACGTTAACTCATCCGATGCAGTTTTTATCCACAATTAACGCTAACATATTTTTAAATCTTAAAAGTCCTTCTCAGCGCCCGCGGAAACCCTTTAGCAAAAAAAAGTCTCCTCGCGTTAAACGACTTTTACTCAAAGCATTTACATTATTCAGCCTGTTTCACTCAGAGCAAATGTCAACTGTTATACACCCTTCGCTAGGGACTTTCACGAGCTACAAAATGATATATGAGCTAGCCTTAAAAAAATGTACTCTAAGATCCGAAATACTCGGTAGCATCCGACACAAAATAACAATAAAACTAGATATCTCCAGATATTCTATAGTCCTTTTTCATGTAACTGCAGTCAATTTACTGCTAGTTACAAAGGGCATGAAAGTTACCAAAATATTCCGGTAGAAAACCAGTACAGAATGCCGAGAGATGTCATATTTTGCTCAGAATTCTTAGCTCTATCAGGCTATATGGTTTGTAAAATTTTCCGACCAAAAGCTAAGGACTTGGTTTTCCAGAAGCTCTATTATCAACTTTTCTCATGAAATGGCGATATACACCTTATCTGATAGAAAAATCTTCGGGCTATTGAAAACATTATTCAGACTGGTTCCAGCTGTTACTAAAAAGTCAAAAACAACGGAGTTCTTGTAATTATGATACACTATACTGCTTAGATAGCACCTAAAAGCTTCTTTTCCACATCTTTAATGACTGGCCCTACCTGTCTGGATGTTGTGACCAGCTCACTTTATGGAGAATTTCAAGGGCTATGCTATCCAATATGTTTTCGAACAATATATAATTTTTCGTTATGGCAGAAAAACGACTAACGCATTCTTCAAAGCACTAAGATAGGTGAAAATCACTATATCGGCCAAGTATTTCAACTATTGACCAATGTGAGCATATTTTTGAAAGACTTATTCACAGCTCATTTTGAAGCTCATGAAGTTCTCTATCGAATGATATATAAAGGTGGAGCGGTTAACGGGAAGATTAGTCACTATTATAGAGATAAACGACGTTGACCTACCGGTTTCCTGGGATTCTACCGAGTATTTCGAGTGGTAGAATACCCAGTTACATTTTCTTAAGGCTAGCTCATATATCATTTTATAGTTCGTGAAAGTCCCTAGCGAAGGGTGTATAACAGTTGATATTTGCTCTGAGTGAAACAGGTTGAATAATGTAAATACTTTGAGTAAAAGTCGTTTAACGCGAGGAGAGTTTTTCTTTCTAAAAGGTTTCCAGGGGTGCTGAGAAGGATACATATGTCAGTAACTAGCAAAACAAAACAAGATCACTCAGGAACATCTATAATAATGTTTTCAACATATCTCATCAACTTGCGCTTGCTTGGTTTCAGGAATATATGTCTACTGAAATAGTTCTAATGGTACATGGAAGACGTTTACTTTACTGCCTGTCTAGTCGTCGTACAATCGTCGTTATTACTATCGTTCTAATTGTGTTCACATTTGCCTCTGTCTATTCTATTCGGCATTCATCCGAAGCGATAAAATATTTCTCAGTAACCGATTTGTTACACACAGATTTCAATACAGCAACCAAAAAGCTCATTCCACGTCTGATACATCAAACATGGCGTAATCACACAATACCTGCTCAATGGCAGGACACAGTTAATTCAATACATGAATACAATACTAACAGTAATAACACATTCGAATATCGTTTATGGACTAATCAGATGATAATCAAATTTATGAAAGAGAATTATTTTCGATTTTACCAAGAAACATTTCGAAAATATCCATATGAAATACAAAAAATTGATGCATTTCGATATTTTCTTATGTATCACTTTGGTGGTGTTTATATTGACATGGACATCGGATGTAAGAAAGCATTATGGCCACTACCACAATCAATTGAGCACAAAGCATCAGGTGTTAACGTAGCTGTTTTCCCCGAAACTCGCCCTTTCGGAGTGTCAAATGATTTTCTGATATCCACTGTCCGACATCCACTGTACGAAAAAATCATTCATCAAACCTTATCTAGATGGAAATATAATTTTTTATCGAATTATTTAACTGTAATGGTGACGACCGGGCCATTGTTTTTAACATTACAGCTATATTTATATCCTAATAAGAGTGATGGAACTATCTACATATTGGAACATGCTCTATATAATGGACGAAGTCAGAGTTTCATACGACATACACAAGGTTCGACTTGGCATGGGAAAGATGCATTGATCATCTTCTTTTTCTATGACAAATGGAAATTACTAACTGTCGGATTTATTGTGAGCATCATTGTTTTTAACGTTTATCAGCGTAAAGTATTCAGATTAATAATGGCGAGTTTTTGTAGATGTGTAGTTGAATTCATTGCATTTAAGTGCATGAGAAAAATGACTACCGAAGCATGTCCAAATCACAAAGTCGTGTGGCGCCGGATCTAATGATTTTTCTGAGGGCGGTTAAGGTGTTCTCGGTCCGAATTCTTTTTCCGGAAAAGGATTGTGTAAGTTTAGGTTTCCAGGGAGACGACCAACTCTCCTCGCCTAACTCGACCATTGATACCCTGATCTCTATTCACGAAGTGAAGAGTAGTTCGGTTAAGAAACGGGCGCATTTCATGTATAGTTCGTTTGACGGCAGTTGAACTATTTCGAATTTGAAGAGGAGTAGCTAAACCTCCTATAAGGTGAAGGTTTTCTCAGTGTTCTTTGATAAATCTTTGGTGCTAATCTACTACAGTTTAAATTTCATGGTTTTGGTTTCAAACTTTTTACCCATGGATTTTTATATTTTTCTCATATTTTTATGAAAGAGTAGATTTTTAAAAGAAAGCTCCAAGGTTTTTTACAAATGTTGATATCTTTTAATAATTCGAAGTCTCATTTTGTAGAGAAATGTCTGCTTTACAATTCTAGATGTTTCACAGCAAGGCACATGCTTTCGTTAAAAATACGACGAATTTCACTCTGGTAGCAGAGTTATCTGGTCGTGCCGCGTATCGTTACTATCCGACGAGCAAGGAAGCGCTCGATCTCAAAGATAAGCTCATGTATAAACGGTAGCTATTTTATGCACTTCACCAGTTTTACCACAAGTATAAAAACAGCATCCTGCAATTTTATCATACAACCATTTCTATCTTCTGCGTCTCATCATCTTACTTTCTCAACTACAACACTTTGTAATACACATAACAATATGCTTGTCCAGACGCTTTTCAAGATGTGTTGATTGATTACGATAAACGAATATTTTGAAATTAAGATAAAAATCAAAACTCCAGCTGTTTAATGTCATCATCTCAGATTCAACTAGTTTTTATGATACGAATTGATTTTTGATACAGACACTGCCACTATACCAGGTTACGGGGACGTTTAGCAGATCAAATAAAAATGTCACATAGCTTATGTACACAAATGAAAACGACGCGGATATTAGGAGAAAATATACAATGAAGAATGAACGCTTAGTGGACTAAAAATTTCGAAATGCTGTTGGAGACTGGAACGCTTCTACTGGAAATATCCCATCTTCGTAATTCTAAATAGATACCGTATTCATACGAAGTGCAGACGTTTTGGCTTTTTTCTGCCTGGTAATCAAGAGATTTTCTCTTCGAATAACTTCTACAAAAGAAATGCATAGTGTCCGTTTACAGTTGACACTTGAACAGCTGAGTTTACTTGACAATTTCCTGCAAATATTTATTTCTTTGAGTATGTTCGCGCGAAAGAACAGAACAGAGTCATCAGATGGTAGGCAAAACAAGGACGTATAGAAAATGAGCTAATGGGTGAAGCTTTTCAAACGTAGAAACGGTAGACGTGTACGAACTGCTAAAGAACTCTAGCAGAGATAAGGATTTCGTTAACATGCTCTGATTTAAATATAGTAATATTTTCACAACCAAAACTTATTGACCGGAAAGAAAAACAATTTATCTCAAGAGCAAGAGCACTTGTGATCAAATCAACACCCTGGTGCATAAGCTTTCAGCTCATATTCTGATAGATGAATCTATTGATGCGACTATATCTTGTTATACTACAGTAGCTTGGATTTTGAGTGAGTTATGAATTTTTTAATTTCTGACGGAAATTTCCAAAACTGAGTTAATTCGCATAGCAGAGACTTTCACTCGGTTCTTGCATTTTTTTCTGAATACTAACATTGCCACGAGGTTCAGCGGTCGATACCTATGTTTCCATGCATTTTTGAAGGTCTCAGAACGAAGAATAGAGAAGTTCCAGAGCTTGGGGCAAAACGTCCGCAGCTCCGGAAACAAGCAAAATTAAACTTTTGTTTAGATCTTATTTTATAGAGGACACTTTGGACTATCTATTTATGAAAAAACCGATAGATTGCTATGTAAAATTGTTGACTTAGGAACTGGTTGTATAAAGATCTATTGAAAAACGTTTTCAAAAATTGATTCAAAAAACATTTCTGCTTATGAAAATATAGATTACACTGTCCTCTTTCGACTGCCGAAAATCACAAATCTCGATCTTTTATCGTCTTTGAGTTATACCACAAATAATACTGACCTTATGTTTTGGGATGCCTATGCTTATGTTCGAGCTTTGTAATAAATATATCTCAGCAACCGTTAATCCTAGTGTACAGGAACATTTCATTCTGAAGAGAATTGTTTGAAATAAAATATATCAAATGATAGTAACTATCGGTGGACCAGGAAAAACTCTAGTATATCGTTCGAAAGAGGCATGATTACCACCAAATGTAGTTCAAAATATTTTATGTGTCGAGTTTCGATATACCAAACTTTTGAACATTAGTTCTAGTGCATCTCGATGTGCTCTTTTAAATGAAATCAGTTCCAAACGGATTCATTTCACTGACTGGAAGATAACTCATTTTTAAGTTTTCTTAGTGATTTTGCAGCACAGTGCTTTTACAAGTAGTCGCCATGAGATAAAAGGTTTTTCTGACGTAATCATCAGATAGTGCTCATTTCGTTGTATATATGGTGAAAGAATCTCGGCTTTATCTCTCATACTGACCGAGAAAATTAGAATTTACATTGGTATCTACACCAAAAATCAGCTCTCTATAACGGGATGACTTTCAGGTTATTCCTAAATGTGTTTAATCTTCATATCCTAAAAGTTCGAGCGAAATCGGTCACACGTTGAATGCAACATTCCGCTGTGTCTTGTTGTATTTTTCATGCAATGGAGTTTATACAGTAACTACATGATGACGCAAAGATATCGAAAAAATGTGTT